TAGCATCAGGTTTGAACTTGTATAAAAGCTTGTTTAATAAAAAGGTCTCAGACTACAATTCAAAAGCTCGGTCTTAGAGCCTCTCAGACTGACCTAGTATATTTTTAATTTTTTATATTTTTTATACTACTTGTAATAGCCTCACTTTCTTCTCAATCCATTTTATTGGTTAAACAGACTTTTTGAATGATTTTTTTTCTATATTATGTTATTTGGTATACATTGAATTTATGATATTTATGGAATTTCTAGTGTCGTTGATTGTATATTTTGTTTGGATAAATTTTTGTTGTTTTATTTTTTTTAAACAGGCTAAACCAGACTTTTATTTTTTGTAAATAAGTCAGGCCACAAGCCGATAATAATAACCCGAACAAGAGGGATCCAGAGGCTGAGCAAGTATGAGACTGTACAGTTGATGATGACTTAAATGAAAGAATATGTACTACATATACTAACAAGATGCATATACTTTTCGATAGTCCATAATTTAAGAATTTTATAGTTAAGCGTGTTTGACTTTGAGTAATTTTGGGACGAGTGGTCTCCTGAAAACTTTCTCAAAATGTGTATGAGTGAGAACAAAACACGCTAAAAAATCTCGTATTTATTTATAGGGAAAGTCATTCATCCTACAAGTAGGCGGGCGTTACATAGGGTATGCATAACAATTTTTTCAAAAAGGATTTATTTAGTCTGGCAAATAGATATAGTTAAAAATATCATCCCATAAAATCGGTTTATTTTAATGTTTAAGAGAATTAACTGGTAAATTTTTTTATTTTATTTTGTGCACTATTTAATTAATGTAGACATAATAGAATGTGTGATACATTAAATCAGTGTTTTAAAACTCGGACCGGTCATCGAACCGGTCGAGGTACTGGGTCACTGGTTCAACCGGGTTCAACCGGTTTACTGTTCACATATTAAAAATATAAAAATATTACTTATATTAATAAAAATTCATATAAGAAAACTATCAATGAGCTTCAAGAAATAAATTGGTTTTCAATGATAGCAAATATTATATACTTCTAAGCTTCTAGCTCTAGACCGTATCCTAATATTGGATTAAACCATGCAATATAAGTTAAATGCACTTTTTGTGCTTGACATGATACGGATAAATTAAATCATGATAACAAATAGTATGCATGAAATATACACTATAAGAAAAAAGTGTCCACCGTTCAGATGAGATTATGAGACCATCAGTGTTTATCACCACTTAACTTCATGAGATCATTATAAGATGCAACTAAATTACATAAACGATACTACACTAATCTAAACTACCTTATTATTTTCACTTTACTTTTAATCATATTCATCATAAAATATGAATATGATTTAATTCAAGAGTTCTTATCAATAAAATAAAAAAAATTACCAAAAAAAAAAAAACAAAAAAGGAAAAACCGATTTAACCCGAGTCAACCGGGTCGCCGAGTTTCGGCCGGGTCAACCGGTCCAATCCGGGCTGACTGCATAACCGGTCTAACTACCCGCTCGAACCGGGGAACCCACCGGGTCACCGAGTCCCGGGTCGACCCGGCCGGTCCGAGCCGGGTTTTAAAACACTGCATTAAATACTCATTGTTTATTAAAAATATTATTTACTAAATACACTTTCTCTTTTTGGGTAGAAGTAAGCGGTGTAATCAAATATATCTTTTTGGCCAGAAATTTTTTATAAACACATAAAAAAAATTGTTTCTAAAAATAATAACAGAAAATAGAATGGTTGTTAACAAGAAACAGAGAAGCCATTGAAAGCTGAATTACCTCTTAATTGATTAATTGGAAAAACTCAATTACAGTACTCACAAAAGTCGTATATATACGCTACCATCAACAAGTAAAACGAATAACAAATTATCTAATTACTTAGATAACAAACCAGTGCAGCTAACAGATTTCAGGTAATCTGTTGTGGTTAGTTGGCCATGCATGTAGTGTATCTATCGTGGATTTCTGAACACTGGGATCAGTCAATGAGTTCGATGTGGGCTTTGGAGTTGTTAGGCTTAACTCATTTGATGGGCTTGCACTATTAGATTGTATTACCCCCCCCCCCCCCCCCCCCCCCCCACAAGATGAACCATGATAATTAGCAAGGTCCAGCTTGGAGAGAGCTAAATGGAAAGCAGATGGAGACAACGGCTTCGTGAAAAAATTAGCCAATTGGTTGAGAGAAGAAACGGGAAGTAAACGAATGAGCCCAGAATGAAGCTTCTCAAGTGTGATATGGCAATCGATCTCTGTATGCTTGGATCGCTCATGAAACACAGGGTTATGAGCTAGGTAAATCGCAGAGTTGTTATCACAGAAAACGAAAGCAGGTTTCGACCAAGGAAGAAGGAGATCCTTGAATAGGTGCTGGAGCCATTGAAGCTCACAAGTCAGTGCAGCAAGGGCCCAGTATTCCGCTTCAGATGATGAACGAGACACATTGGATTGCTTTTTGGATCTCCAGGCAATTAAGGATGATCCTATGAAAATGCAATAACCGATGATAGACCTCCGTGTATCTGGACAGCTAGCCCAGTCAGAATCTGCAAAAGCTCGAACACTCATATCAGGTTTGGCAGAAAAGAAAAGACCAGAGGCTGCTACAGTAAGCAGAACTCGAATCGATGTAAGCTTGGAAACATGTGAGAATGTCTCAAAGAAATCCACTCCTTCTTGCTGAGTAAATCCTTTAGCGACTAGACGGGCTTTATAACGCTCAATTTCTCCATTCGAACGATATTTAACTTTGTATACCCACTTGGAACCAGTAGCAGTTTTTCCTGGTGAAAGGTCAACAACAGTCCACATATTGTTTTTGGACAAAGCACATAACTCAGTATCCATTGCTTGTCTCCAATGTGGAGACTTGACAGCTTTAGAAAAATGGCGAGGTTCTGTGTGTGTGATGACATTGAGACAAAAATTTCAATAGGAAGGAGCACATGATGAGTAAGATAACACATTTGATAATGAGTAGGTAACAGAAGAAATGGGAGCATTACCTGGACGAGATTGATTAATATGAGCAGTGGAGAGACTATAGTGGTAATCAGCAAGATATCTTGGGGCAGTGCGAAGACGTGAAGATTTTCGAATATTAATTGCACTCTGTCAATCAACATGTGAAGTAATGGGCTGCTGGGTAGCAGCAATATCATGTGCAATGGGCTGTGTATTAGATTGTAGTTGGTGAGTGTTTGGTGGATGAAAGGAAGTGGAAGTAACATCTAGAACAATATAGAAGATATGGATGTTAATGTGTAGTTGAGAATCTGGTGGAGTGGGTAGAGTATTTGTGGTGGGTAATGGGTTTAAAGGATGTGTGTAATCAACAGGTGGATCGGTGTGATAAAGGTCTAATGAATGGTTCGTGTGAAAGGTCATATCAGAATTTTGGTAGGTTGATAACTGAGTAAAGGGGAAATGAGTTTCATAGAAAATCACATTTCTAGAGATAAAGATTTCTCTAGACACGAGATCATAAAGTAAATAGCCTTTGATCCCTTCTTTATATCCTATGAATATTGCTTTACGTGCTCTTGGACATAATTTCGTCCGATGAGAAGCAAGGGTTGATGCAAAGGCTAAGCATCCAAAGACACGTAGATGCATCAGAGGTGGAAGATGACCATATAACAAATCATATGGAGTCTTGTTGTTGAGTATAGGAGTGCTGATGCGATTAATCAAGTGAACCGCATGTGTCACAGTATAGCACCACAAATTGTTTGGAAGATGTGCTTGAAAGAAGAGAGCCCGTGCTACGTTTAATACATGTTGGTGTTTCCTCTCTACTCTACCGTTTTGTTGTGGAGTCTCCATATTTCTTCCTGTAGATCAGCAATTCTGACCTTGTTGCAGTCTACAGATTTCTCACCTTGTTGCAGTCTACATATTTATTCCTGTAGATCGACAATTCTGAATATATCAGATTGTGAAAACCTATCGTGAAGATCCTTCTATGCAGCCGAAGCACTCTCAATCCACAATATAGATTGTACAATAGTTTGAGAGATGGATCTATGAATCCAATCTAAAACCATCATATTGCAACGATCACATGCCTGAAATTCAGGATCTTGCTCTTCTGGAATTTCTGCATTTTCGTTGATGAAATTCAACTTGTTTTTGGATCACAATGCCAAGGTGAAGGATCGGGACCATGAATGATAATTGCGACCATTAAGAAGTGGAGTCACAAGAACCTGAGATGGATTCTCGATTGGGTGGAGGAAGAATGGATGAGATGGATTCGTGAGGTATGAAGGTAGTTGTTCTTGATTAGCCATGGATACTGAAGAAACGGAAGAAGATGATTATCTGAAGCGGATATCAGAGCCTTAGAAGCTCTGATACCATAACAGAGAAATAACATTATATAGTGCAAGCCGTTGATTTATATTATATAGACCTATTATATATTATAAATGATTTCATGTTCATGTTCATGTTCATGTTCATCGTTGTAATATATGTGCAAAAATTAATTTATAAATGCCTTAAGAAGAAACAAGGCCCACATCGTTGTATTGTAATTGGCTTAAGAACAAAATCAATATTATACAGTAAACAATTAATATTGATTTCATGTTCATCGTGGATTTTTTTTTTTTTTTTGAGTTACCCAATCCTAATTACCTCTTTGAGGCGAGTTGGCTCCCTCCGGTATCTCCACAAGCTTCGACTCTTTGAGCCGGCTATGGGACTAATCCGGAGTGCGGGGGTCAGTGATGGCTAAAGGTTCAGCTCCCTCCCCAAGAATGCATTCAGCGGGAATCGAACACATGTCCAATCCCACTAACTCAGCGCCAAGGAACCAACTGAGCTGCACCCATTGGGTTCTATCGTGGATTTCTGAACACTGGGATCAGTCAATGAGTTCGATGTGGGCTTTGGAGTTGTTGGGCTTAACTCATTTGATGGGCTTGCACTATTAGGTTGTATTAGTTGTCGTGTATAACCAAAGGTAAATGACTAAATGGCATAAATTACTAGTTAGTTTATTACAATTAGCACATAGTCATATGCAGACTAATTAAGAACACTAAAACAGTCTATAGATCTTTCACACCTAGACAAGTCTGAAGCTAATATTTCTCCACTTCTTAAATCCACTGTCGGTGGATGGTATGGCTACCCAACTACAATAAATACATTCAAATTTATAAAACCTCTCCTTGTAAAGGAGTGGCATTGGGGTTCTCCACGATCTGTATTGTTCCCTTGGGAGACCCTGACATGCATGATAGTGATACAACCACAGGCTTCACCTTCTCAATAGTCTTGATGATAATGAAAAACAGAACACGATACAGAACAATCATCCCCACAAGGATTGCAAGATCAACCCATTTTGATATACTCATGTCAACTTGCCATGTATTTCTTAAAATCTCTTCACCACTAATGTAATTGTGTGAGCCTTGATTTGTAGCAAACCTTAGTCCTTCAAACTCATTCTTGAGCAGTCCTTGAAAGGCATATGTATGGAAGGCAACATAGTGTGATGGGTATCTCCAAAATGGCCTTGGAAGATCATGTGGCAATCTAAAGAACCCGCTAATTAAAAGCATGATTCCTTGAATTCCAGCACCAGTTATGATACCCATTAGAAAGTTGGGAACAACAGTAGCAACTATCATCATAAGACTCTCCACTAACATCAAACTAGAAAATATAACACACAAGAAGTACAAAATGTGCTCGTATCCTTTCTGAAGACCAGCAAGGAAATAAGTTATAACTCCAGGAATCAGGGTAACCAACAACAAGTATGGGACAGAGGAAAAGGTGTTCCCAATTACAAACGCAGTGACACCATAATGCCCATTTTGTCTTTCTCGTTGAAATACCTGGGAACCAATGTGGCAGAATTTTATTTTATTTTTTTCAGTGAATTCCTACTTTTTCAAAATTTAAAAAAGAAAAACTTTATACTTATCTTTTCAACTTAGACTATGAACAATTTTCTAAATTACCTTCATGTCTTCCACAAAGGAAGGGAATCCACCGATGGTCATAAAAGTTAGGAATGCAGACACAAATGCAAGAAGTGAACCTCTGTCCTGAAATAATCAAAAGTGATTGCACAATCAGAGGACATGGAGTAGCTAAATTTAAAGCCAGTTCAGTTTCAGTTATTCTATGTGACTCATTACTCATAGCTCTTCCTTTACTTTACCACTGTTACCTTAATTGAGCCATTACTGGTATCCAAATTATAGAAAACAGTGCCTAAACTTAAAGCCAATGCTACATATATGGCTAGGCGTAACCAGTAATAGCCTAGATCACGAAACATGTTCACGGACGATCTCTTTATAAGAACTAAGCACTGATTAAGGAAGCCTGCGTGTCCTCTCTTCTTGTCAATTGAACTGGTTTCCTGAAACCCATTTAAATCCAATTAATGTCAATCTTAATTTCGGATCAAATTTAGGTATTTGCCATATATATGAGTGCCAGTAAGCATGAAGGGTACCTTTTCAGATAGTACTGCTACTTCGTTTTGAACTTCTTGGTTCCTTTCAGATGATTTATATGATGTCACAAGAATACGGATTGCTTCTTCTGTGGGTATTGTTCCAGTCCCTGCTAAACCCACTTCAATGTCCTGGGATAAAATGTATTTAAATTATATTTCTGTAAGTTTTCTCGGCTACTAATAAGAACCAACTACAAAAAAAGTGAGGGCACGTGAATGGGTAATGTGTTGAAATTTACTTTTCATTAGAAGAATGGAGAGGTAATGATGCAACTCTAAATTCTTTGGTCATTATATATATATATATATATATATATATATATATATATATATATATATATATATATATATATATATGTATATGTAGGGGCAGGATATTCTTACACTGGTGTAAGAGTTAGAAGTCTTACACTTAATCTTGACCATTGATCCACTTGTATCCAATGGCTCACATTACTAAAAAATTTGAGCTCTTAGATATAAATGGGATCAGTGGACAAGATTAAGAGTGTAACTTACACTGGTGTAAAATGATCCTAACCCATATATGTATATATATATATATATATATATATATATATATATATAGGGCTTAACATTTCTGCAGCAGCCGTAGATAGTGTTATCTACAGTTGACACAGAAAAGTGGGCCCCACGGTTTTTTTTAAAAAAAAAAAAAAAACTCAGGATCTGTTGCCGTATCCTAGGATTCGGACGTGTATCCTTGCTTGCTGTAGGTACAGCAGCTGCAGAAATCATTTTGCCATATATATATATATATATATATATATATATATATATATATGTGGATTAGTGTGTCCTTTTAAAGGATGTAAGTTGTGTCTTTTTAATTTTTTACTCTATATATTTCCGGTATTACGTAATTATAGTATAAATTTTTTTTTTACTTTCCACGTCAACTAATGTGACTAAGGAGAGAGAAAAAAAAGTAACTTTTCATGTTGTAAATATATATTACTGAGAGTAGATAGAATAAAAAAACTAAAAGGACACAACTTACATCATTTTAAAGCACAAATAGTTTTCCCTATATATATATAGCGGTTCATCTATTATCGGATTAATTCAGTTAGAATATTGTTGGATCCACTATAGGGGTGACTCTTTCATGATCATTGTAAAGAATCAATTCTACCCAAAAGTTTAAGTTGTTGGGTGAGGCTACATTAATAGTTTTGTATATATCTAACATGCCTCCTCACAAGAGAGCTTATTGGATTTAAAAGCTGGATGATGCATTAGGTCCAGCCTATCCGTGTTAAGAAATTCCACAAAGAAAATGAGAAGGCGGCGATGATCGAATTCGGGACAGGCAAAACGACCATAGTAATAACAAATAAGAAATGTTTCTCCCATTCAAAGCTGTTTCGAAATCAATTTCCAGTGTAGAGCAGTCAAAGTCGTAGGTCAAAGTGACAGAAATGGTACCGTCACCTTGCATGGCGGGACTGGGTGCCAGGTAGGCAGCCCATGGAGTCCCGTTCAGTATACTTCTGCACCCCTCAAGGTCAGTGACGCGTTCAGTGTCCAACTCCCTCCATTTCACTTCCTTCACACTCGTTTCCCTCCCCCTCTTCGTTTCTGCCTTCTTTCTCTCCATCTTCATTTGTCTTTCATTTTGATCATTTGTCTCTCTCTCTCCGTGTAGAAGTAAATTAAACATTACGAGTCATCAATTAAAAACAAATTATGCAAATGTTCATCACAACAGTAATTATTAAATAATTCAAAAACTATTTACATTAATTCAAACGTAATTACTAAATAATTCAAAAACTATTTACATTAATTCAAACGTAATTACTTAATTTTCCAACTAGGTTTCTACATTAAGTCACTTAATTAAATAAGATACATATTATGTTAAACACAAATTAAAAATCATAAAATATTATATTTTAGTTATGTCATTACAATTATGCTTAATAGGCAGTGTAAAACATTACGTTACCTTAATGTTTACTAATTACATTAAATATTACATTAAATATTTAACTAAATTTGGTTCTTCGTCCCTGATTTTTAATAAAATATTATAAATATTTAATTAAATCACTAAGCTATAATGTCTGTTTAATATTCTTATTAACAATTAAATACTGTATCACTAAGTAGGTTTTTTTCTTTAGCTTTCATAACTTATAATTACTAAATTAATCTGTTTATGTATTTTTTCTTAACGTTTCATTAATGATTAATCTGCTCACCCAACAAAACAGTAAATAAACAATTAGTGGATCTAAAAGGATATCAATAATTCTAAGGCTAATAATTGTAATTATAAAATTGGTTCGCTTTTTTTACGGTCAATGTATATAACTTATTTACAGTGAGCTCAAAACGACATTGTTTTAAGGCGGAAATCAAAATATTTTTGTAATTATAATTTATTTCAAGGTTATAATAATAGTCTTTTTCATTATGATTTTTTAATTTTTCAACCCAAAACAACGTCGTTTTTGGAACGGATGTAGATAACTTATCTACAATCACTTTAGAAACATTAAAGCCTTATAAAATAATGTAAATACTAATTATCCTACGATTTATCATGATAAAATATTAAAAAAAAAAAAAATACTACAACCCATACTACATACCTGTTATTGACCGCAAATGGAGATAGGAATGACAAATTTTTCACCTGCGGTGGAGAAAGCATGCAACAAATAACAGAGGGGAGGGGAAGACAAAATAGGATATGAAATATTTAAGCCACAGCGAGACGGTGGGTGATAGGATAGGAGGTTCGGGAAACAGAGGGAGAGGGGATACGAAATGGGAAATAGGGAGACAAATGATCAAAATGAAGGACAAACGAAGATGGAGAGGAAGAAGGCAGAAACGAAGAGGGAGAGGGAAATGAGTTGGAGTCAGACATTGAACGCGTCACTAACCCTGACGCATCACTAACCCGCCATGCAAGGTGACGGTGCCGTTCCCGTCACTTTGACCTACGGCTTTGACTCTTCTATCCTGGAAATTCATTTCGAAACAGCTTTGAGTGGTAGAAACATTTCTTATTTGTTATTACTATGGTCGTTTTGCTATTCGGGACACCAAGACTTTAATACCATGTAAATAACCAATTCAACCCAAAACTTTAAGCTAGTGGGTGGAGCTACATTGATGATGTTATATATCTCTAACAATCATTTTCTCCATTCACTGGGCTAGAACTTGATACCTCTTATTAAGGGAAACAATCTCATCACCACTTGTAATAATGATTATTGGTTGGTCATAAAAACTTTGATATTATATCAACAATCAAGTTTTCCAAAAATTTAAATTTGTTAAGTGGAGACATATGAATGATTCTAATAATTATTGAACAAGAATGAAATCCTTTAAAAGGCACCAATCCCATTGAATAATGGTCAGTTTACCTGATCGAAATCCTTGTTTATAGTTTTCAGTAAATGATCAGATGGATTTTGGAGAGCAGGACAAGGAAAACCATTTGAAGTGAAAAACTACATCAAAACAAAAACAGAATTACTAAGTGGACATGAAAACATAAAACTTTGTAATGATGTATTATAAAATGGGCTATTTCCTAACCTCAGTTGCAGCAGAAGCAGGTCCAAAGTAAACTGTTCTACCAGAAGACAGAAGACAAAGGTTATGGAAGAGTTGAAAAACTTCACTACTAGGCTGATGGATTGATGCAATAACAGTCCTCTGAATGCCATCTTTTTGAGCCAGGGTAGCAATTCTTCTCATGACATAATAGGAAGCTGCACTATCAAGTCCACTAGTTGGTTCATCAAGAAAGAGAAGTTTAGGACGTGTTAGGATCTCGATGCATATGCCCACTCTCCTCTTTTGACCCCCACTAATGCCTTTAGAACCCCACCCTCCAATTCTTGTGTTAATGGCATCTTGCAAACCCATTTCTCTTATTGTAAAGTCTGCTATCTCTTTTTTCTCTGCCTTGGACATGGAGTCAGGTAATTGGAGTTGAGCTGAATAGTGCACCGCTTCTTTAACAGTTAAGGTTGTCAATAATGTATCATCTTGTGTGACATATGCCTGTGGTCACATAGATTGAAAAAAATATTAGTTGATCAATGTGGGTGGGTAGTGACACTTAATTAAAATCCCAATTTGTTTTTGTTGAAGAATTTAAGATTTTGTACCGAGGTTCCATAAGCAAGTGCTTGTTTGCGACCATTGATCAGAATCTCCCCCGTTTGCCTTATGTTTGAACCTAATCTCCCTGAAATATGAACTCATATCATTTAATTTGTTCAAAACTTCAAATTGACTAGATACTAGAACATATCAAAGACAGAACATTCCCTCGCAAATTTTGTTTTGTTTCCTTCTCAGATTTGCCAACCAAGCCCTTTATTCCTCTCTTAGTATTGGTTGAATTTATGATATATCTTTTAGCATTTATATCTACCACTGGGATTCCAATAAGCCGAATTCATGGGTTGATAAATATTTTTCTTTTAGGCCATTTGATAAAAGGTTTAATGTTTGTTTTGTTATAGTCTTATAGGAGATAAAATTATCTTCTATTCTTTTATAAAAATGTGTAGGGCTCATATGGGACTATGTGAGAAGAAAAAAAAGAGAAGAAAAAAACAAGAATCCTAGATACTTTTATGTATGTAGAAGATAATTTTATCTTTTACAAATACAGAAACATGAAACATGAAACTGTTTTATAAAATAGCTTAGTTCCCAAGAAAACGACAAAAATAAACGCAACAGAAGAAATTTCATAAGTGTATAGCTGCATAACATTAGATCGTGTCTTAAATTCTTAATTAATTGCATTTATTTTTTTTCTCTCGTGACAGGGTCAAAGGTCCTGCCTGGGATTAGTGATTGATTTTTTATGCAAATTTTCATTTAAAATTCATCTAGATTTTTTTTAAAAAAATAGAACATCTAGAATTTGTTTACCTCATTGGGATGCTAAACTAAACTTTAGTCCAAGTAAGAACCGAACAAGCCCTTCAGTATTTTATTTTGGGAAGATTCATTTACAATTTTTTTTATAAATTTTTATAAATTATTTTGTGTATTTCTAGAAATACATAGTATAATCTAGTAATATATTTTTGAGAATACATAATATAATTTATAAACTTTTGTTTATAAATTATAACTCTCCTCTTCTATTTTTGGTAATATTTTCATGCAGCCAGACTCGTCTTTATAGCATGTCAAACGTGATTTCCTGACTAGAAATTATATTTGGTATATGATTTTGCCTCAAAATTTGGGCCAAGTTGGAAGCAAGTTTTTTTTTTTTTTTGATTTTTTGATTGCTTTCCTCCGACAATTTTTAACAATTTTGAACTTTTAACAAATTTATGATAAAATAGTATAATTTATACCCTTCCCGTAATTACTCATCCAAAAGTGATTTTGACTAATTATAATAGCAATATGCATTTCACCAAAAATTACTTTTCACAATTAGGTATCCAGAACAAAAATCACTCCACTTTAATTTTATTTTTAATTAAAATTATTCAAATTTAAATCTGTATATACTCATAAGCACACACATACTACACGAAGAAATGCCCGAAGCCTTGGTTCCTTTATTTACTACTGATACAATAAGTTTTTGTAATGGTCTTAAGTTTATTTTATTTTATTTTTTCTTTGGTTGTAATATCTTGGACTTTTTATGATTGAGGGCGCAAAATAAAATATTGAAGTTAGAAGTGTTATTAAAATTAATGGGAGAAATTAACTCTTATAAATATTTTTTTTAGGGAGGGAATAACTATTACATGTATATATACTTATGACCAACTCCTCAAGCATTGGATTAGGAGACTTTCTTTACAGTTTTCGTCTCCACAATTTCAGCTTTTAGTTATACATGCTCCAAACCCTCCGTATAAAATGAAAATGGAAAAAATAAAATAAAATAGGCTACATAACTTATAGGCAAACAATAATGATGCATGAGGTTATTTAGAAGCATGATCACTTTGATATATATATATATATATATATATACCTGCTAAAGTATCAAGTAGTGTAGACTTGCCACAACCAGAAGGACCCATTATGGCCAAGAGCTGCCCTGGCTTGGCATAACCAGTTAGACCCTCAAGAATTGTTTTGCTTCCATTCTTTCCCTTTGAAGCAGTCACCCATAGATCCTTCCATGTCAGAAAGATACCCACCTCTTCTGTCTTAGCTTCTCCTCCATTCTTTTTTGGAGCTCTAATAGCTTCCATTTCAAGTGTGGTGACCTCAATGTCTAGGACACTTTGCTGGGGTACTGATTTTGAGATGTGTTTAGTTTCATAATCAATAGGAGCAGATTGAAGACATGAATTAGGGGAAGCCATTAATTAGTAGCTGTAGGAGTCCTTATGAGAGGTGAGGGGTAAAGAAGTGTTGTAGAATGGCTGACTGAATTTGTCGGAAATGAAGTCAATATATAGATTTTTTTTTGTTTTTTTGTAACTAAGTCAATATATAGATTTAATTATGGGTTAGAAGTTTCTTATGTGTATGAGAGATAAAATTATCTCTTATGCACACATAAAAATATATGGGTCCATGTGAGGTCATGATAAAATTAACAAATGGTGGTAGCTCAGTTGGTGCATGGGAGCTAAGCAGGTGGGTGTGAGAACATGTGTTCGAATCTTCCTAGTACCACCTTTGGGAGGAGTTTAAAGCCTTAATCCTGGACCCGCCCCGAATCGGATTAATTGCGAAGCAATGAACCGAATGGAATATTTCTAAAAAAAAAAAAAAAAAAGAAGAGAGAGAAAAACAATACGGACCCCACACATTTTTATAGCATAAGAGATAAAAATATCTGCTATAATATAAAAGACACTAAACCCTTTAATTATATGTAGCAATTCAGGATCTGTTTGTGGTGGTGCACCCAACGTTGTCTTGTTTTTTTTCATGGGACCAATTAATGTTGGGGTTCAATGTCTCTCGTAGGAGATAAAATTATATATATATATATATATATAGGGAAAAATAAATCTTATGTTGTAGGAGATTTTAATCTCATGTCATAAATACATTATGTGTGGGACCCACCTATTTAAAAAAACAAAAAACAAAAAAATAAGTGGTTCACCTTTTTATGGTGTGTGTAGGAAGGGTTTGTTTTCTTATGCAACATGAGAAAAACAAACCTCATATATATATATATATATATATATATATATATATATATATATATATGTGTGTGTGTCTTATCGTTTCTCAAGCTGCTTGAGATAACTTTATCTCCGGTCACTAAATTATAACCGTACAAAGATGAATCAATAATGATAAAGAAAGAGAGAGAAAAAGGAAATCATAACCATTCAAAGGTGAATAAATTAATATAAGAAAATAAATAAATAAAACGACATAGTTTTGAGGTTACCGGAGATAAGCTTGTATCAAGCTGCCGGAGAAATGTTTTTTCCACACACACACACACATATATATATATATATAAAGGGTTATATTTTTCTTATGTTTCATAAGATAAACAAGTTTCCTATACATACAAAGTGGAGGTGGATCCCACATTTATTTTATTTCTATAATATATACAACTATTTTCCTACAACATAAGATAAATATAATTCACACGTAAAAGTATATGAGGCCCATATTATATATGTTTCTCTCTTTTCTTCACATACGCTCAATATGAATCCCACACATTTATATATATATATATATATATATATATATATATATATATATGGGTTTTATAATTCTCATTTAAAATGAGAATTGCAATTTTTCTACACACCATTCGATTTCCGTGCTGACATGGGTCCTACATATAATTTTTTCTAACACATGGGTCCTACATGCTTTTTATCTTTACAACATGAGATTTCAATTCTCCTTCAACATGAGAATTATAAAACCATATATATATATATATATATATATATATATATATATATATATATATAATAAAATTATTTCGTAACAAACATGATACACTTAATATTGTTGCCAATGGGAAAATGAATGGTTGTGCTACGAATACATTGGTGGGCTCCTGTAGAAGTAGGGATGGGAAAAAGTCGAAAACAAGCAATGCGATTTTTACGAAAATCGTGGGAAGGTGTTAGTTGAAAAATTAATGATATATTTAAAGGACAGATCATATTTACAAACTTTTTTGAACTCTTACAAACTACATTAATTTCACCAGAGAAAACACTAATCACACTATCTTCTTCCGGGAAAACATAATGTAATTTGCATAAATTTGTAAAAAAAATTTGTAAACGGATCATTTACTATCTTTAAATTATTTTTGTAAAATATTAATAAATTTTAAAAATATTTATTTTATCTCTAAAATATAAAGTAAAACAAAAATCAAATAGAATAAAATCAAAGACAATTAACAAAAGAAATTATTATGCAAATATTTAATTTTATCTCCTAATGTGGAGCTTGTGAAGGAATATGATTTCTCCGACGTGGTACTTCAACAGGCCAAACTCACCTATTTATTTTATCTCTTTCTTTGCTTTAATGTTTCTTATTATCATTATCGTTAACAACTAAAAATGATATGGACAAAAATCAGGTTCAAATCTCCAATCGTATGAAATATTTTTTTATTTAATTGTTAAATATTTCATTGGTTCTTTTTTATTTTTTAAAAACTTGTGTAATAAAAATTTAGAAATTATTAAATAACGTTGATCGTTGATTATCAGAGAAATAAGTTCGTTTGATGGAGATACCATTCATTAAAATATTAAAAATATTATTATCATTTTATTAACTTTCTCTCCCACTTATTAATATTAAGGATAAAATTATAAAAACTAATACTTCACTAATTTTTAAAATGACAAATAAAAATGAACAAAAACACTTTTTATAAATAGATAGATGAAAATGTGGAGAAAGTGATTCCAATTTCTAACCACACATTTCAAAAAATTATCTACCTATATGTGATTGAATTAATTTTATGTGTCTCTTTCCTATACTATTTTCGTAATATAAATCATGAGTATAATAATTTCTTTTATATTATAAGAGATAAAATTATCTTCTAGACACAAAAAAGTATGTGAGGCCCGTATCTTCTTTTTCTCTCTTTTATCATCATGTGACCCCATATAAATTCCACATACTTTTATATGTACATAGAAAATAATTTTATCCCCTATAACATGATAAACATCAAACCGATAAAACGTAGACCTTTTATTTCCTTATTTGAAATTTATATACCTTATACCTTATACATATCTTAAAAAACATAAAATCCGCAAGAAATAAAAAATAAATTTCGTTTTCTATATTAATATAGAGAAATATTTTTCTCATGTTGCATGAGATAAATTGTCTCATGTTGCATGAGATAAATTGTCTCATGTAACACACAAAAAAGTGAGTGGGATCCTATGAGAAGAAGAGAGAAAAAGAAAAAAAAAATGAATTCTACTCATTTTTTTGTGTGTTACATGAGATAATTTATATCATGCAACATAAAAAAAACATATCTCATTAATATATGACAAAAACAAGTACGAGGTGTATAATATTTCAAAAAATAAAAAATCAATTTACACTCTCTGTAGTTTGTACTCTGTACACCCGGACTAAGAAAAATCATGATTTTCTACAAATGTCCATTCTTGAAAATGTTTATAGTTTTGTGGCTTATCTTTTTTAATCTGAAAAGCCCTCACTAGTTGGAAAAGTCTCGGCTCAATAAATGAAGAATACAATCTGAATCAGGAGATGCCTCGCTAGCCGCTACCCACACTTGGTAGTCAGACATGGCATCAATTAGACAAAGCATGTGATACATACTCGATTAGTATAGTTCACTTCGTGAAACATATTTTTCTCATTTATTATCAAACCCCGTTTCACACACTTCAATTTTATAACCTATGCTACGCACTATTTCTTTTTTTTTTAACTGATCCTAATTATCTTTTTGAGACGAATCAGAATTTCTGGTATTTCCACGAGTTCGACTCTTTCAGCCGCTTATGAGACTAATTCAGAGTTCGGGTGCGAGTCCAAAGATTACGGTACTTATGTCCCTCCCCAGATAGTGTTGGTGGGATTCGAACCGAAGTCCTCTCCCACCACTCAGTTCCTCATTACAGTAATTTTTTTAAAGTAAATAAAGTTTAACAAAGATCTAAGATTTTTTATGTCTAAATATTTTTTAATAAATAATTACCCTAACGTTCTTACAGGTAATATTGTTCATATAAAAAAAGTACATCTTTTCCACATTTTTAAGCTTAAAAAAAATAAAAAAGTGTTCATTTTTCTTATTCTTGTTTTACTATTACAAAAAAGGGCAGGTTATATTTACAAACTTTTTTGTTTACAAACTCTTACAAACTACACTATATAGGACCGGTCTTACATTAATCACACAGTGTACGACCGGTCCTACATTAGTGTAATTGCAAAAAAAATTTGTAAACGAATCATATCTTTAAAAAAAAGCTTGGTTCTCCACCTGCACATGTAACCTAACTTTTACTTCAACAATGATGTATGCATAATTGCATATCAATGCTGCAACGGTGGTTGGACAAGAAGGTGTGTATATAACTGTCCTTTACACTGCTGGTCCTGTGAAGTACCGTACCATTTTCATCCACTCCACATATTTCGGATCAATTTATATTGATTGACTGCCTACCTTATCTTCTTGCTAGCAAATATCACTATTTTTGGTTTAGGATCTTCCAAATAATTCCCGCACTTGTATAATATTAAAATATTGCAGTAGAGGCTTGATTTTTTCAACAAATAATAGGATTTAAGTCCAGACCAATAACAGGTGAAGTTATTAATAACAATTTATACATAGATCACATACTTGTAATGGCATAGAATTTTTATTTGGCTAAAAAAAAAATTCGATTGAATTAAAAAGTGTTTACATTATTTTTTTACTAGCCGTCCTCAATCGGCTTTTACCAATTTTGAATCTTATAAGTTTTAAAATAAAATGAATTGGATATTCTGATAGAACCAGCCGATCCAATGTGAGATTTTGATAAAAACGGTATAATCCTGTAATTTTCCATCAATATTGGGAGGATTTTCATGTTAAGATTCGGTGTCTTTTTATTTTCATAAACTTTGCACAGAGCCACCGTAAAGAACCCTGGGATATACCACCCCAAAAGCTAGCTCAAAGGATGAGAGTATTCAAAGCCTTATAAACTCCACATTAGTTGCACATCTAACCAATGTGAGACTATATATCTCAACACGCCCCCTCACGCAAGAGCCCATTGGGCTTGAAGCGTGGACAATGCAACAGGCCCAGCCTACCTGTGCTAAGAAACACCACAAGAGAAAGTGGGGGGCGGCGAGGCTCTGATACCATGGTCAAAATAATACGCTCCGACAAT